TATGCCATATATGCCAGGTCCTTTGAAACAGCAAGGATGGACCGGCTCCCGGCAGTCACACAGATAGCAAAAGAAGAAAAAAAGAAAAAAGAAAAGGATAAACCTACAGGGCAAGGACAGAAGGGGATCAAATAAAATGAAAATAAATTAATTTCAACCAAATTACTACTTAAACCCTGTGGGCTAGTTAGAAACTAAACCAACACATATACTTTTCTTCATGAAGTGAGTTCTGATGAGCAATTTATAAACTTTCAAATACAATCAATTTGTAGATTAAAAAGTTTACTTTTAAGTGACTGTCAGAAAATGCTCCTCTTCTTCTACTTTCTTTTCTCCTCCTAATTCCTCCCCAAAATAATTTCTTTTTTAAAAATATTTTTTTTTTTTATTGATTTCAGAGAGTAAGGGTGAGGGAGAGGGAGACAGAAACATCAATGATAAGAATCATTGAACAGCTGCCTTCTGCATTTCTCTCCTGGGAATTGAGCCTGCAACCCGGGCATGTGCCCTGATGGGGAATCGAACTGTGACCTCCTGATTCATAGGTCAGTGTTCAACCAAGGAGCCACACTGGCCAAGCCACAATACTTTCTTTATAGTAGGCAGATGTGATCCCAGGAAGTAAAACTCCTATTTGGACCATTAATAATTGAGATCCACTGCAAATTAAATGTGAATTTTGGGCCTACCCTAGGAACTACTGTGCATGCTTTCTCCCTGGAATATGCATTCTAAATTATAAACCATGCTTACTGAAATTAGTTTCTAGCACTTCCAGTTTGATGTTTTTGTCTCCTATTCTCCCTGCTCTGAACCTAGTTTTTTGCAGTCTCTCCCAGATATAACATCTTTCATATTTAAAAAAGACAGTTTTCAGCAGGATTTTGTTTTTTTTTTTTTTTTTTGTTTCAGAGAGGAAGGGAGAGGGAGAGATAGAAACATCTATGATATTGCCTCCTGCATGCCCCACACTGGGGATTGAGCCCGCAACCTGGGCATGTGCCCTGACTGGAAATCAAACTGACCTCCTGGTTAATAGTTCGATGCTCAACCACTGAGCCATGCTGGCCGGGCTCAGCAAGATATTTCTTACATGGAAATTATTTCCTTTCACCTGCCTTCTGCTCCAACCTGCTCTGTAATTTATATGCAATATTTACTGAGTTCCTACTGCATCTGTGCCCTCTGGCTGCTAGGGAAACAGTTGGTATATTGTCTGGAACATGGTGGGTACTCATTAATATTTGCTTCCTTTCCACTGACATTGACATTCATTTGGACTTGCCATATCTGCTCTGATGTCTCTTCTAGTAAAATAGCAAAGTATCAGAAGGAGGCGGGGCTGCAACGTAATGGAGGCACAGAGGAATGTGCTTGGCACTCAGGAGATTCACCATAGGCATTTCTTGGTATTTCCATGCCTGATTGTAACTAAAAACTGGCAAATACAGCAACTACGGCCTGATAAGAGTGTGATAATCAGGGACTCAAACCTCTCAGTGATGAGTGCCTGGGCCAATCATCAGTCAAACCACCTACAGCAGCAGAAGCGATATTTCAAGTGGAGGGGAATACAGAAAGTGTGGTGGAGGAGGGAGATAATGAGCATCAGTTATAGCCTTGGGACCAACTGTAGCAGTAGGGTCTGTAATTCATCCCATTACCCTCATCTTATGAAATTTCCCAGAAATTTTGACTAAGACAAATTATTGAGAAACTGTGCTTGAATAGAGTAACTTAATGTGAAAAGTAAGTGATCTAAGCAAAGGTAGACTATAGTGAACTCTCTGTGTGGCCTGCTCAAACCCATTTTCTAAGCTAGTGCATCTCTAGTCTAGCTGCTGTGAGTGTTAAATAGCAGTTCCAAAACCGGAGAATTGTCCTCGGCCAAAACAGGAGCCATCCCACTGATGAGGCTCTGCTGCTTTCCTGCCCCTGAAAGATCTGGTCCAATAGCATAGGGGTACAAAAACTGCCTTTTTGGTTAACACTGCGGGTGAATGTTGTGGGATCAGCTGAGTCTCATTCTTGTGTCCTTGTCTTCCTAGCCAGTTCTGCTGCCTTCACTCCCTTTCTCCAGAAAGCACTCTCCTAATAAATCAAGAATCCTTGCCGCCGGCTCTATTTCTGGAGAACTTGACCCAACTTGGATAGGTGAGATTGATGATAATAGTGTTGACTACTTTGGATTTTCTTGCTCGAGCCCCATTCTCTCCTTCTTCTAGTATGCCATCTTGTATAAAGTCTGCAGAACTGCCCTAACCGGTTTGCCTCAGTGGATAGAGCATCAGCCTGCGGACTGAAAGGTCCCAGGTTCAATTCCTGTCAAGGGCACGTACCTTGGTTGCGAGCAACATCCCCAGTAGGGGGTGTGCAGGAGGCAGCTGATCGATGTTTCTCTCTCATCAATGTTTCTAACTCTCTATCCCTCTCCCTTCCTCTCTGTAAAAAAATCAATAAAATATAATAAAAAAAAAAAGTCTGCAGAACTAAAATTGATGTTACCCAGACTTTCTTGCAATCACAGTTCTGGATGCAAATTATTTCTTCCAGTTAAATGTATTCACCAAAATGTGGAAAACTGAACCAAAGCAGAGGCCATGTTTCTACCCACTTGGGGCTATTTTTCTGATGGTTTTGGGAAGGTGAGATTTTCTGCAGTAGTGATTCAGCTCTGGGTTACCAGGTCTGATAGTGTTAAGAGGTAATTGCTGGCTCTGACGGCAGAGGTTTTCTGATGTTGGCTTCCAAGATCACCGTATTGTAGTAGCTGAGGCAGTGCATTCTTGAACTTAACACTTCCAGTGGCAACATCAGAGGTACCTCTCCTCTCAGATTGGGCCCCGTATGAATGTGGGAGTCAGTCTGATGCTCAACTTAGAGCCGACTCCTTTATCCATTGCAAATATTTAGGTGTCCAATTCCCTGTAATAAATACCTTTCTGACGTAAAGGGGTAGAGTGATTTTTGTATCCTGTCCTGAACTCTGGCTGATCAAAGGAAGGTTCTTCAGCTGTAAGAACCCCAGTAAAAGAACCCAATTAAAAAGAGAATCTCACAAACCCATTTATTGGCAAAATACCTGAGCCCCTTGGGGAAACAGAATGCTCTTTGTTTCTTTTCTAATTACAATTCTTACCTACTTGCCTATAGTCTCCACCTGAGAGGTCTTAGTCTTTTAGTCTATATGACCCTTCAGTTCTTTTACTCACAGTTAACCAATAAAGTTTCCATGACATAATTCCAAATTGCCAGAAAATCTGGGATATGTATCTTGTTTTAAATAGCTGTGGCCAGAGAGATGAGGTCACATGGTTAGAGTTGCTCCTTACAAGCAGAGGGCAAGTTCTCTGAACGGAAATGATGGACTTCTCTAGAACACAGGTTTAGAAGGTTGAAGCCTCCATTTCCCTGGGCTCACAGTTCTATCTGGAGGAATTGCCAGGAGAATAAAACTCTAAACTATTGCTATAGGGAGTGTATTACTTTGCTAGGGTGCCATAACAAAATACCTCATTTTAAAATTCTTAACGGTAAAAAGTCCTGGAGTTAAAAGATGCATACGCACTAAAAAGGCCAGGTACCATTCCAGTAAATGGAGATTACAGCAGAGATTCTGGCAGGTCCTGATACCTGGAAATACAGATATCCAGAATGATTCATCTCTCTGTCCCAGCTATCATTTCTACTCTCTTTCTCTAGTCACTTCGTCTTGGCTACAAAAACTGAAGCAAGGTATTGGATTCAACTTACATATATTGCCTATCTACTCACAAAAATCAGAAGCTTCTCATCAGGTAAACCATTTGATTGGATTTTGACTCTTAGGATATATACGTTTTATCAGTTTAATATTAAAAATACTTTTGCACTCAATGGAATATTGCACTCTTTAAAACGCATATAGATATATAAAATTATTTCTGCTTGGGTTTGGTATACCTGATAAGAGGTTTTCTCTAACTTGTACTCACAATTTTTGAGGTCATTGTACTAACATGCATTAATCTTGTTTGCATTTTTCTCTGCTCATCCATCCAATAGTCTAAGGAGAATGTTGTGCCAAGTGCTGTGCTAAGTTCTGGGACTATAAAAATGAATAAAATCATTTGTTAAAACTTAAGGAATTTAGACTCTTAGATGGGGAGACTTATAAATTAACAAAAAATCATTGTGAGTACTGTCTCAGTGGCTCTCTGTTTCCATTGGAAAGGAGGGCAAGGACCTTTATTGGCTTATTCTCTGCTGTTATCACTAGTACCTAATACATAGGGGCATTCAGTAAGTATTTAAGAAAGAATGTGCTAAGATAGTTATACAGAGGGAGCTATGGGAGCTCCCAAAGGGACATTTTCCTAGTTTTAGGTGTGGAGATTTGGCTGGAGGGTGCGTTGAGGGTGTCACTTCAAAGTTATCATTTAAAAAATCCTTGAAAATAACTTCTGAGCTGAAACCTGGGAGATAAAGGAAATTAAATATATATAGGGTTCAGCATTGCTTAGGAATTCCTCTGATGGTTGTCCTGTGATGCCAAGAAAAGATAGTCTGTAGAGGTATGCAGCAAAAATATCTGAAGGGCCTTGTAGACTGCAATATTTATTTCCATTTTAATATCCATAAGAATACGCTGACTTCTTTTTTACCTGTCCATCCACACTGGTAGCTCATCGATGCTAAAGATTGTTACCCAAGCGCTCAGTGTCATGGTGGGGATAGAGTAGCTCCTCATTCCCTGAATGAATAAATGAATGAAATGAATAACAGCAGGGTGAGCATTGCGCAATGATTAAATCTTGTGGATAGTAGGATGTCAGGAATGTAGTTTATAATGAGGCAGAGTCCTAGTTAAGGGCTTAACTAATGGCGAGTTTGTCTCATCTCAGAAATAGTATCAGAGACGTGAATGTGAGGGGTTTCAAAGTGCCTTCCTAGCGGTACAGTGAAGAAACACAAATACAAGCACTCGAGAGTTGATTAGGATTCGTCATTTCCAGGTCCCAATGAACAAGAGCCTGGCTGGTTAGCTACGGGACAGCCGGACAGTAGGTAGCCGGGAACAGACAAGCGATGCCAAAGCTCAGCGCAGGTGCTGGTACTTCCCAAGAATGGAAAGCAGGCGGTGCTCCAGGGGCTATGCGGCTGCGATGAGCGCCGAGCGGAGCGGCGGGGTGCTTGGCGCTGCAGTAAGGAGGCCCAGCGACGCCCGAGCGCGAGCGCTGAGGCCGCGGCGTGGAGGACGGAACGCGGCAGGCGGGCCTCCGGGGTCCCGCCGGACGCAGTTCTCAGTAGCACTCCCGAGCGTCTCCTCTCCACACAGGGGGTTAACCTGGCCGTGGGGAACAACGGCTGGGCCTGCAATTCCCCCTCCTCATCCTCCCTCCAGAAGAACCATCCCAAGCTGTAGCCCCGGCTTCAGTAGAGATTAGAGGGCGCAGCGGCCTCCCGGGGCAAGCCTCTGCCTCCCGGTCACAGCCCCGGGACCTGAAAGGAAAAGCACCTGCCACGGACTTTCCTCCGGGCAGGGGCCGAACAGCCCAGCGGCTGGCGAGGTGAGCTCGAGAGAACGCGCGGGGATCCACCACGACTTCCGGGAGACGCTGAGAAAGCCGGCCATCCTGGACGGCCCTCGTCTCTCCTCCGATTGGTTAACTTCTCTCTGGCGGAGCTCCCCTAGCTGGTGATTGGCTCAGATGCGCCGTCTGTCACCTGCCTCCCTGTGGGAGGCGAGGTCGCGAAGGGAAGCCTGACTCGAGGCTGGGAAGAGGTTGGTTGGACTCGAGCCCGGTCTGTTTATTGTGGCGGAGACCGAACCGGGCGCGAGCCCCCCGTTGCAACCGCCGGGGAAGGAACCAGTAGCCGTATGGAGGGCGGGGGTGGCAAGAAAGTGCAGGTTTAGAAGTAAGTTGGAGTCACCCAACCCTGGCCACGTCCGAATGGGAACGCGATAGGAAGGCCGGCCTTGGACGGGGGAGCTGTGATCCCGGGAGCAGTGGCAGTGTAGGAGGCCAGGCCTGGTTTCTGTGGCGAGAGACAAGGCCTTGGGGAGCTTTTCATGATCGAATTATTCGGGGGCCTAATTTTCTAGGTGAGCGTCTACCAAAATCCAGTGGAGATGTTGCTTTGGTTTTGCAGCAGGGTGGGGGACTACCAGCGGCCCCCACCCTTCAAAGAGACGACTTGTTAAATACTTGAACCATCTTTTATTGCTTCAGATGGGCAGCTTCAGAAACACAAAAACCATTGAAAGATGGATGCCATTGCCTATATTAAAAGCATGTTGAAAGGAAAGTAAGGTATTCATTTTGATGTAGTTATAGTTAATTAGACAAGAACATTACCTGTGAGGAAAAGCGCTTAAGTTTTGAATACTGTTAGGGTAGCTTGATTTTATGATAGGATTCAAATTCTTAAATTGTTTAATACAAAAATCATATTCCTGCTGTACCTACCAAATATGCTCTTTACTAATGATGACCTAGTCCTATTATTCTGAAACTAAAAAGAAATCTTGAGTCTTTAGTAATGTTATTTTGCAGTTGATTGGATCGTGCTACTAGATCTTTCCTTAAAAAAGATGTAATAATGACTTTAAAAAAATCCTTGAATTGTAATTTAACGTTAGAATATGCATGGGATTGGATTGTTGCTTACTCATAAAATAGTTTAGACCTGTAGGCTGATTTCACTTTATATTTCAGGTAGTTTGCGTCCTAGACGCTTTGGCTCAGTGGGTAGAGCATCAGCCTGAAACCCAAGTCCTGGGTCCAAGGTTCCATTCTGGTCAATGGGTCCTGCATGCTCCTCCCCGGCCTCTGCCCTGGTAGGGGCTTGGGCAGGAGGCAACCAATCGATGTTTCTCACATCAGTATTTCTCTCTGTCTTTCCCTCTCTCTTGTACTCTCTCTAAAAATCAATGGAGAAATATCCTCTGGTGAGGATTAAAAATAGATAAAGTAGTTGGTTTATTAAACACTGAGAGTCACAACTGTTGCTTCACTGGCAACATAGTCATTTAATCGCCCAGCCTCTATTAAATTATGTGTTACATATCACATACCAGAAATTATTAAGGAATGGCTTATTTATCCACCCACAGAAACACCCAAGGTAGCTCTTAAAGATTGACTTAGCCCTACCCTGGAGAATTCTGACCCAGGATTAGGGATATGATCTGGGCATCTGTATTTCTTAAAATTTTCTCCTGTGAGTTTGATGTGCACTCCTAGTTGATAACTGTTGCTTTCATGACTTACTAAATAGATTTGGTTAGCCCAGCTCGTGTGCTCAGTGGTCTACCCATGAACCAAGAGGTCACTGGTTTGATTCCCAGTCAGGGCACTTGCCCAGGTTGTGGGCTCGATCCCCAGTGAGGGTTGTGCAGGAGGCAGCCAATCAATCAATGATTCTCATCATTGATGTTTCTCTCTCCCCCGCCCCCCATAAAAATCAATAAAAACGTATTTGAAAAAATATTTATGTAACAAATAATTTCTTCCCTTGATATTCTAATAGCTTAAAATTAAGCTGCTCAGGAATGACATTTAAATATAATCCCAAAGATAGTGTTTGCCTAAGTAGCATCAGGACATTTCAGAGGCACTTGAAACCTCTGAGACTAGACCATTCCAGGTTTAGAGATGAGGTTTGGGATAGGGAGACACAAAATGCTCTGACACACTTTAACAAACCTCAGAGCCATGCATTGGGTATTTTTTTCCTGTTAGATTTAAGGAGACATCAACTCTAAGTCTATTCAATAGATACAGTCAGCTAAATTATTTTTACCTCAACAAAAGTACAGTTGGGTTGGTGTGGGGGATGTAATATTACATTTATGAGCTTTATTTTGGGAAGAATACCCTTGCTCAAAATAATACCTTCCCAGTAGCCATTTGCTTATTAAATAAAGGATGTGTATGATTCATGCTTAAAATTTGCTAACATGAAGAACCCAGATATTTGAAACATTAATGAAGGAAGGCTTTTAGACCACCTGTACTGGAGAGTCAAAGGGTAAAAAATGAGATAATCACTTTGGTATTCAGGTATGAGAAATGTGTGGTGAAACCAAAGCCAGTCTGACTTAAATGATAGCTTTAGGCAAAGAAGTAGGTCCAATTGTGTTCTAGCTCCTAGAAGCTGGTTTTGATTTTATATGGAAGTTCTTCATTGTAAGATTTGTTACGTGAAATCTTTGAGTAGGGGACAAAATTTTTAAATGAGTTTAAAAAACTAAGTTGAAAACATGAAGCCATGTGTAGTCTATGACTAATACCTTGAATTTTATATATATTGTTTGAACAGAAAGCCAGGAATCTCAGTATGAATCAGTCTAGATCTACATCAGATGATGGTGGCGAAGAAACCTCATTTCAAGACCATGATCATCCTGAAAATGAGAGAAGATGGCAGCAAGAGCGTCTCCACAGAGAGGAAGCTTATTATCAGTTTATTAGTGAACTCAGTGATGAAGATTACCGACTAATGAGAGACCATAATCTTTTAGGCACCCCGGGTAAGAGATGGGTAAAAGAGGAAACACCTTTTTCATCATCAAGGAAGAATTTTAAAATAAGGAGAGTTTTTTCCCCCCTTCTTCCTTCTCCCAAAATATTCTGTACTTTTTCTTTTATCCTTACTCAAGGATATGCTTATTGATTTTAGAGAGATGGGAAGGGGGAGAGAGAGAGAGAGAGAAACATCGATGTGAGAGAGAACATCAATTGGTTGCCTTCTATACATGCCCCAACTGGGTATGTGCCTTGACCAGGAATCGAGCCCACAATCTTTCTGTATATAGGAGGACACTCCAAACAATTGAGCCCACTGGCCAGGGCAAGAGCTTTTTAATATAACAAAATAGAAAATCATTGGCTTACTTGTGTATTTTATAAATATGTAAGAATATTATACAGAGCACTGTTATACGAATGCCAAACTATCAGACAGGTTAATGTACATAATAGTGTCAAATAGGTGGCCCTATTTCTCTTAAGTAATATTTGTACAAATAAAATTATTGTAGTTGGGTGTCCATCCCCTCTCCCCCCTGCTTATTCATGGTTTCTTTTTCCAAGGTTTCAGTTATCCAAGGTAAGAAATAAATTTCATGCCATTCTGAGTACCATTATGAAATCTTGTGCTGTCCTGCCCGGGATGTAAACCATCCCTTTGTCCATCCTATCACCCTGCATACATTACCCACCCATTACTCACTTAGTAGCTGTCTCTGTTATTAGGTCAACTGTGGTGACACTGTGGTATTTATGTTCAAGTAAGCCTTATTTTACTTAATAGCCTAAAGCCATTCAAATAACTTAATTATAGTATATTTTTATTGTATTATTATGATAGTTGTTGATATTTTGGTATGCCTAATTTATAAATTAAACTTTATCATAGGTATGTATAGGAAAAAACATAGTATATATATAGTTTGATATTATGCATAGTTTCAGACATCCACTAGGGGTCTTGGAACTTATCCCCCATGGATAAGGGGGACTCCTGTAGTTAAAACTCAATTGTAACTTATTTGAAGTATTATAATTAATTTAACTGAATTAATAACTACCAAAAAGTCCAATGTGCTCTGTAAATTTTTTACAAATTTTTATTTTACAAATGAATTCATTGAAATTTGTATGCTTGTATATTATATATTTATATAGTGCACATTTGCATATTGTATATTGATGACCCATATAATGAACTATTGAGGTAAAGTTCAAGTAAATAAAGTTCAAGTAAAACACATCTATTAGATGAAATTTTCTCTATAAATACTCCCTTCTTAATTTCTTTTTAACTCTGACAAAAATTCATGGAATTATAGCTTAAGTGTATCAACAGAGGGTACTTTATTATTAAAATAAAATCTTAATTTTAATAAAATATTAATTAATGAAACACAACCTTGCACCATTTAAATATTTTTAACTGTCTTCAATGTATAGAACATTTAAACAATAAAATATCTTCTACAGCTAAAGATTAGTCTTACCTTTCATGAGTTATAATAAAACTTTGTAATTTAAAGTTTTTCATTTCAGTGAACAGTTTTTCATTGTTTTAGGAGAAATAACATCAGAAGAACTACAACAGCGGTTAGATGGAGTCAAGGAACAACTGGCATCTCAGCCTGACTTTAGAAACGGGACAAATACCAGAGGTACTGTGGACTCCTTTCCGTAAGGAACATGTCTGATTAGAGCAGTTGCAGAAATGAACTTAGTAGATCTTTTCTTTTTCTTTTTTTTTTTTTAAGTTGCTCCTTTTTTTTTTTTTTAAATATATTTTATTGGTTTTTTACAGAGAGGAAGGGAGAGGGATAGTTAGAAACATTGATGAGAGAGAAACATCGACCAGCTGCCTCCTGCACACCTCCTACTGGGGATGTGCCCGCAACCAAGGTACATGCCCTTGACTGGAATCGAACCCGGGACCCTTCAGTCCGCAGGCCGATGCTCTATCCACTGAGCCAAACCGGTCAGGGCAACTTAGTAGATCTTGTAGAATATTTTTTTAATGTTTTCCAGTTTTGATGTACTACTCAGCATTTATATATTATATGCAAAGCAGTATAATTAAGCAATATAGGACAGGGATGTGTAATTAGGTAATATGGACAGGCAATATAAATACAGAGATGTCTTACACACAGATTGCCTTCAGGGAGCTCACATATATGAAATAGTATACAATTAAGTTAATTACCAGCATAGTTCTTTTTAATCTTAGAATGTACACACTACTTTCTTTAAAATAATATAAATAAACCTAGCTTCTAAAAATTTATGTAGGGCAATACAGAATGACTGCATCAGGAAACCTGTTTTTCTTGTTTTGTTGTTTTTGTGTTTGCTTTGTCATTTTATTGAGCAAATACTAAGTCATAATATAAGAAGTTGTGATAAAAACAAAGTTCTTGTGAAAAGAATTCAAACTAAGAAGTATATAAAGTTTAAAAGTAAAGTCAACTTTAATGTCCCTCTTACCAGGTCCACTTCCTTCCCCAGAGGTATTTATTAATAGTAGTTTCATATGTAATGTAAGAGCGTTATATTATTTAGGGCAAAGATGATTAATAACCAAAAATTGCAATGGCTCAATAAAATAGAAGTTTATTTCTCTTTCATGTTATCAGGCCAGGGAAGGTAGGCAAACTTTGCTCCATAAATCCTCCTGGAATCCATCCAATCAGCAGTTTCTACAATTGTGTTGTCCACATGTGACTACTTAAGTTCAAATGAAATAAAAAAATGCAGTGCCACAGTCATGTTAGCCACATTCAAGTACTTAATAGTCAAAGTGCCTAGAGGCTTCTGCATTGGACAGGATAGATATAGGACCTCTCCACGATGACACAAAGCTTTATTGGGCACAGCTTCTCCAGGGTACTGTTTGCATGGTCAAGCTAAATCACAGTCGTATCTAGGTTCCAGCTGGCATGAAGGAGATGCAGGCACCAGCTTGAAAGAGATAAATCACTTCCACTCCCATCCCATTGATGAGAACTTAGTCATATAGCCACACCTAACTGCCAGGCAGTCCAACGTGACCATTACGCTGCATTTACAATGGAAGAAAGGTAGGATAGATTTTGTTAGATAAATAGTGAACTCTTGGACACACACCCTTATCACTACATTCTAGTAATTAAAGAAGGAAGTACCATTTAGGTAATGTTTACCTGCGTTTTACTGTCTTTTTCCAAATTAAAATGGAAATTGGATATTAACCCTTTTTCTACTTTATGTTTAGATATGTAATTATACTACCGTATTGGTACAACTGGTAATACTGGTCCTTTGTTTTAATTGAAAATGTACTTAACCACGTATAAAATAGTTTATATCTTTAGAGTATGGCTAAAGTTGGTGTTTATTTTATGGTACCAGCAGCTGATTAACAACCTTAAGTCAACATTTAAAAAAGGTTTTGCCCAGCCAGTTTGCCTCAGTGGTTGAGTGTCCACCCATGAACCAAGAGGTGACTAACTGATTCCCGGTCAGGGCACATGCCTGGGTTTTGGACTCAATCCCCATGTGCAGGAGGCAGCTGATCAGCTCTCTCTCATCATTGATGTTTCTCTCTCTCTCTCCCTCTCCCTTAGTCTCTCTGAAATCAACAAAAACATATCTTTTTTAAAAAAAGCTTTTTATGAGAGATTGCGGTAATGAAACGAAAACCAAAGCAATCTCATTTAATAGCTGATTTTGAGTAGAATAAATTTAAGGTTAAAGTCTATGTAGTTAATGTGCATTAGTAGGCCTTTCATTCAGTTTTGCACTTTGTATAATCTACTGGTTAAATAAGGAAAATTGAAGCTATTACCACAGTAGTAGTATCAGATTAAAGCAGTCTATCAGGAACACATTTATTTCTAAAATTGATTCTTTCAATAAAATTAATTGTTCATCTGATTTGCATCAGATACTGCTATAGAGGTTGGAAATTTACCAGTGAATAAAATAAAGCCCTTAGTCTTCATGGAACTTATGTTCTAAATGAACAGAAAATGTATTTTGTGGTATTATGTATAATGGCTAATATTTATTGAATGCTTTGTGAGTGCCAGGTATTGTACTATTCATTTTATATACAATAGCTTATTTTATCCACTGTGACATTTATACTGCTAACTCTAATTTACAGATAAGGATCCAGCAATAGAGAACGTAACATCCTAAAATTTCCCACTTTCACATAATATAGTTCTAACATTGTATTCAGAAAGCCAGATTTCTTTAGCTGTACATTTTTGGCAATTCCTGAGAAATAGGATAAAATTCCCAAGGTTAAAAAAATACCTAGTTGCAAAAATGTCAATTGAGTTACCCTTACCAGAAGGATTCCACAAATTTAGGATGAATTATGTATAAATTTTCCACAGTATATTGCTATATGAATAAAGCAGTCTAGATGTACAATTTTGGTATAGACATGTTTCTCATTTGCCTTAATATTGCCAATAACAGGCATATAGAAAAGAAGGATTTCCTCACAGCTTTGCATAAATAGTATTATTCATAAATATATTTTAATATGCTTATAGTGTATATCTTTTACAAAGTTGTTTTTTTGCCAGTTTTTAAAATGCACAAATGTTCTTCAATATAATTTAATTTAATGAAAAGTTTATCTTACAAGCTTTTAATAAACAATCTAAGGATGGATTTTAAGAATTGATCTTAAATTGATTTGACTTGCTTTCCAGACTCAGCAGTCCCTAGAGAAAGTTCAGATGAAGATTTTCTACTAGAATGGTTAAATACCTTTCGCCGCACAGGCAATGCAATTCGAAGTGGACAAAATGGGAATCAAACTTGGAGAGCTGTGAGTCGAACAAATCCAAATAGTGGAGAGTTTCGGTTTAGTCTGGAAATCCACATCAATCATGAGAATAGAGGATTTGAAACTCATGATGAAGATAATATAGGCATTCCACTTTCAGATATTAGCAGTGATCATACTACAGAGAGACAGCAAAGATCACCTAGTCCTGTGGCTAGGCGAACAAGAAGCCAAACTTCAGTGAATTTCAGTGGTAGTAGTTCCAACATTTCAAGGACTAGGCTTGACTCAAGAGGGCAGAATTCAGTAGAAAGATTTTTCTCAACCTCAGGAAGTTTAAGAAATGGAGCTGGGAGAGCAGTTGGCATTCCTAGAACTAGTGCTCCACGTGCTAATTTCAGTAGTCACACAAACCAGTCAGGTGGTAGTGAACTTGGGCAAAGGGATGGGCAACGATTTGGAGCAGCACATGTTTGGGAAAATGGGGCTAGAACTAATGTGACAGTGAGGAATACAAACCAAAGATTAGAGCCAATAAGATTACGGTCTACTTTCAGTAGTCGAAGCCGTTCACCAATTCAGAGACAAAATGACACTATTTATCATAATTCACAAAGAGAAGGTAGATCTTTACAACAAACCATTAGAAGGTCTGATAGGAGGAGAGGTATAACTCGTGTCTTTTTAGAACAAGATAGAGCACGCAGAGGAACAGCATATACCCCATTCTCTAACTCAAGACTCGTGTCAAGAATAACAGTAGAAGAAGGAGAAGAATCTAGCAGATCTTCAAGTGCTGCACGACATCCAACAATCACATTGGACCTTCAAGTGAGAAGGATTCGTCCTGGAGAGAACAGAGATCGGGATAGTATTGCAAATAGAACTCGATCTCGAGTAGGGCTAGCAGAAAATACAGTCACTATTGAAAGCAATAGCGGGGGCTTTCGCCGAACTATTTCTCGTTTAGAGCGGTCAGGTATTCGAACCTATGTTAGTACCATAACAGTTCCTCTTCGTAGGGTATCTGAGAATGAGCTTGTTGAACCATCCTCATTGGCTCTACGGTCAATTTTAAGGCAGATCATGACTGGATTTGGAGAACTGAGTTCTCTAATGGAGGCCGAATCTGAGTCAGAGATTCAGAGAAATGGTCAGCGTTTACCAGAGATGGATTCAGAACTGAGTAACCTAGTGAATGACATTAGTCAGCACCATGAAGGTTCCTCTCAGGACAGATGGGCTCAAGAAGACAACACTGAAATGAGTGGTGAAAATGAGACCACTCAGCCTCATATCCAAAACAGTGATAGTAGAAGTAGTAGGCAGTTGCGGAATTCAGATAACTTAATGGAAACTGGAACACTACCTATTCTTCGTCTTGCTCACTTCTTTTTACTGAATGAAAGTGATGATGATGGTCGCATACGTGGCTTAACCAAAGAGCAGATTGACAATCTTTCTACCCGAAACTATGAGCATAACAGTATTGACAGTGAACTAGGTAAAATCTGTAGTGTTTGTATCAGTGACTATGTAACTGGAAACAAGCTCAGGCAATTACCTTGCATGCATGAATTTCACATCCATTGTATTGACCGATGGCTCTCAGAGAATTGCACTTGTCCTGTATGTCGACATCCTGTCTTAGGGTCCAGTATAGCATAGAATGGATGAAGTGATGGATTTATTAAAGTACTGCATTTCAGTGGAGCTGAGTATTCACGCATTCTTTTGTTATTTGTGATGAACTATCCAGGATGAAAAGTAACATTATTATAGTTAAACTATTTTTGTGTGTTTTTTTAACTTGTTAAAAAGAGAACATTTATATAATATTTAAAATGCAAATGTTAAATTATTCAAAAGTACAGAATAATTAATATTGCTAGAACCAAATAACCTTTACAATTATTTTATTTTGGTGATTTTGTCATGCTAAGCACTTTTGTATACACTGCACAGTTCAGTGGGTTAAAAATCAATCTTCTTTTTCTTAATAGTACAATAGACTCTACTTGAAACTTCAAATTCCATAGTCTTAGTACTGTGTCCAGACATTGGTGTCTAAATAAGCCTTTCATTACCTTTTTATTCTAAGGACAATATCTTATAAAAAAATGTTTGGCTGAATGTTTGCTAAATGTTTTTAAGTTACTTAAAATGTTAAATTTAATATGCAGCATACCATATGTGTATATATAGCTATATAATTTTAAAGTTAAAATATTCAGTCTAAATGATACCAGTGTGGTTGTTATTTAAGCTTTTCAGCTATTATTGCATATGGCACAATATTTAATATTTACAAGATTGTCTCTGGGAGTGGATTAAGATATTTAAAAATAGATAATTTAATGAAGCGTCTCTGACAATCTGACTTCTTAGACAGCAAGCAATATATAATTCTGAACAAGTCTTTCTTTATTCAGAAATGGAACATGGACATTTTAGAACATATAGGTTATTTAACTTGAGTCCAGCCTTTTTGTGACTTTTTAGAAAGTGCAAAAATTCTTCGATTATAATAAGTAAGGTACACAATATGCATGGATTCTCAGATTTTATTTTAGAGTCTAAAGAATGTCTATAAAGAATCAAATGCATAGATAATATGTTAAGTTCACTTGAAAGCCAAAAACTCCAAATAAAACAAAACGAAATACCCTTAAGAGAATGTAGAATTTATATAAACACAAAGTATGCCTTGAAGATCTATTTCTACCAATAAATATTAAAACAAAGCTGTGTGTGAACTGTCCTATTGTTCCACTGTAGTATATTCACTAAAAAAATATTTATTTCGTACCTACTAGGTGCCAGGCAATGTTAAGGTATTGAGAATTCAGCAGATGATTAAAAGACAAAGCCCCCATCTTCACAGGAAAGACATATTTTCTCTTAGAAATTGAAAATCAGTTGACAATGAATTATTGTTTTGATTTTCATGTTTGTTTGTAAATATATGGTACTAGAGGCCCGGTGCATGAAATTTGTGCATGGGGAGGGGCAGTCCCTCAGCCCTGCCTGTGCCCTCTCAGTCTGGGAGCCCTCGGGGGATGTCCGAATGACGGCTTAGGCCCAGAGGGAGCGGACCTAAGCCAGCAGATGGACATCCATAGTGCTGCCGTGGAGGTGGGAGAGGCTCCTGCCATGACCACTGTGCTCGCCAGACGTGAGCCTGGCTTCTGGCTGAGTGGTGCTCCCCTTTTGGGAGCACACTGACTACCAGGGGACAGCTCCTGTGTCGAGCATCTGCCCCCTGGTGGTCAGTGTGCATCCTAGCGACTGGTCATTCCGCCATTCGGTTGATTTGCATATTACCCTTTTAGTATATAGGATTGTTTTCCTGTAGTGAACTGCTTGGGCAAAATCACAAGAACACATACCTGAAGACTAGATTCTGTAAGATTTTGCTATAGCTCAAGATTTAGTTTTTCTTTATGATCAGTGATTATACAGGGGGAGCAAAAGTAGGTTTACAATCATTAGTGTGTGAAACACAGAATTCTTTTATTTATTTATTTGTATTATTTAGACTATACATGTCTCTTGATGAATTTTAGTTCTAAATGGTAAGATCATTTTTCATGTTTCAGGAAGACTGGTGTGGTACAGTGTTCAGAACAGTGGACTGGAGAGAGATGGGAAGCAAAAAAAAAACAGTGAAGGAACTATTGTGATATTATCAGTTAACATCATCATCATCAGTTATCTAACCTAGAGTGATGACAATAAAACTGGAAAGAGAGAAGGATGTAAAAATATTGGGGGGAGGAAGGGGGGAAAGACATTTGGTTTCTAGTTCAATATGAAAATGTGGGAGAGTCATGTACTTACAAATAGAGAATCGCCTTGGTGAAGGAGGGTACAAGCTATGTTGGTTTAGACCAGCCATGGGCAAACTACGGCCTGCGGGCCGGATTCGGCCTGTTTGAAATGAATAAAACTATTGAAAAAAAAGACCGTACCCTTTTATGTAATGATGTTTACTTTGAATTTATATTAGTTCACACAAACACTCCATCCATGCTTTTGTTCCAGCCCTCCAGTCCAGTTTAAGAACCCATTGTGGCCCTTGAGTCAAAAAGTTTGCCCACCCCTGGTTTAGACATTTATTTTAAACACTGGAGGCCTGGTGCACAACTTTGCACAGGTGGGGTCCAGCTGGTCTGCCCCAGTTGGGGCCGATCGAGCCGGGCTGGCCAGGGGGAGGGGACACAGAAGGTTGGCCGGCTGGCCCTTCTCCTGATTGGGGTAGGGGGGCTGATTGGGGGTGTGGCCTGTTGGGGGGAGGGGCGTGGGCAGTTGGCCAGCCAGCCCTGCCCCCTGATCGAACTCCTGGTTGAAAGGACAATTTACATATTAGCTTTTTGTTATCCTATCTAATAAAGAGGGAATATGCTAATTGACCCTCATGCCATTGCAAGATGGCAGTGCCCACAGCCAATAAGGAGGGAATATGCTAATTGACTGCCCCGCTCTCAAAGATGGTGGTGCCCACAGCCAATAAGGAGGGAATATGCTAATGACTACCATGCCCTCAAAGATGGTGGCGCCCACAGCCACAAGATGGCCAACAGGGGAGGGCAGTTGGGGGGGGACTGGGCTGGCAGGGGAGGGCAGTTGGGGGCGATCAGGCTGGCAGGGGAGCAGTTAGATGTCGATTGGGCCGGCAGGGGAGCAGTTAGGGGGTGATCAGGCTGGCAGGCAGGCGAGTGGTTGGGAGCCAGCAGTCCTGGATTGTGAGAGGGATGTCAGGTGTCCCTCAGCCTAGCCTGCATCCACTCCAATCTGGGAACCCGCGGGGGATGTCTGACTGCCAGATTAGGCCCGATCAGGAGTGGGTGCAGTCTGGGCTGAGGGATACTCCCCCACCCCCCACCCAGTGTACAAATTTCATGCACTGGGCCCCTAGTATAGGATAACCTTAGTAATATATCTGACTCATTTTAGTGTTACCATTTGGCAAGATACTAAATTCAGCATTTATTGCTCATATGGAATATTCTTCAGGAAGTCCTACTTCCCCTGGCCTGATTCGTTAAGAGAATTGAGAGAAGAGTGAACAAAGGGGGAAATGAAAAAAATAGGAATTAAAACACACACACACATTGATTCTTCATTTGACTTAATTTTTTGCAAGACATGGTAGGACCAGCATGTGAAGAAACCCCAAATATGCATTTGAAATAGAAGCAGATGTGTACTATTTGGGAAATTCTCTGAAAGCAGCAGGAAAGTTTAATGGATTTTGTAAATTGGCATTCTAGTTGGGAACAAAGAAGTGCTTTCTTTAATATTTCTTTAATATTTTCATTCATTTCCCAGTAAACAAGGCTGATGACAAATACAAAAGCTCATTTTCTATTTATAGCTTCTATTTTGCAACAACTGCCATTTGTGGTTCCAGTTCAGAAAGGAACAAATAGTTTAACATTTTTCATTTGAATATTGTGTTCCATGTCATGTCCTTAGAACTTTCGTTTATATTGCAGCTGTCTTACAAACTTCAATTTCTAAACTGCGTCAACTTGCCAATTGTTTCCCAAGTATTATATACCCTTTTACCTGTTTCCCAGGTTTTATAGTTTCAACTAGTATTGTTATATCACATCCTTGATTATCTTTTATTCGCTCATATGAGGTTATTTCAGTGTTTAATGTGAATTCATAATTTAAACCTCTCAACATCCTCCTTGAAGTATTATTGCTACTTAACATAGTATGTGGCAGAGTTGAAAGGGTCCATTTGCCTCCAAAGCTTGTGGTCTTCCCAATACACTGCATTCTGAAGAAGCAGAAGTGCCTTGGAAAGTTTTCAGGCTACTTTACTTCTTCTAAAGATACTTTTTTCTAATTTTATAATTTGGTTATGTCATGTCTTTGTGATTACCCTAATTTTCATATGCAAATACATCCTTTCTGTATCATGAATGAAGAGTGGAGGGCTGCTCCTAAAAGATAAAACAATCTGTTTTATAAGTAGAAATCCAGAAGAGGTGAGTGAGGCATCTGAAGCAAGGCATCTGACGATGCTGTGTTAAGAACTAGAGTTAATAAGCTAACTCTGGAGCATTTTATGAATATTATTCCCAGACAAGAATTTATAAGGAACTTCTAATCTTCCTTTTATCTATCCATTTGAATAATCTCTGGCCAGAGGAAGAATTGTGTAGAAATAGCACTCCACATAAAAGGGGTAGTTAGAATTCCCTTGGCATTGGCAGCAGGCCCATTTGTGGTCTCTCCTTCAATTTTGTGTAACATCAGAAATCAGAGAACTGGGATATCTGTTAACACATACATAGGAGATGATTTCCCAGGCAGCCATGCCCATCTACTCATAGAGGAGGCCTAATGTTCTGTGTTCCAAAGCACGTGGTTATGAGTATTGGTGGTGATTGTTTCTTCAATCTCTAGGACAGATTATGAGGTGTTTTTTCCCCTCAGTAATTATGTGTGTATTAGGCCCTGAATATATCTGGCCTTATGATAACTGGGGACCCATAATTACAATTATGCAAGTTTGTTTTGTTTTTAAGCATTAAATCTCTGAAGACACTTAATTAGCCCCTATATTTTTCCTCTTTTTTAAAAAATAAATCTCATTTCTTCTGGGAAAAAAACCAAAAAAACACTTTCAGCCCTGGCTGGTGTGGCTCATTTGGTTAGAGCGTTGTTCCATACACCAGAGGGTGGCAGGTTCAATTCCCCGTCAGGTCACATAAACGGGTTGCAGGTTCCATCCCTGGTCAGGGTGTGTGTGGGAGACCAACTGATTGATATTTCTCTCTTACATGGATGTTTCTCTCTCTCTCTCTCTCTCTCTCTCTCTCTCTCTCTCTCTCTCTCTCTCTCTCTCTCCCCAAAATCAATAAAAAAAACACCACCACTTTCAGATGTATTTTTTCCTTTGCTGTATTAATGTCTTATTTGAAGACAGAGTTACCGCTTCATGTCCCATAACATATTCACCCTCCTTACACATTTAATTGCAAAAATGATCCTTAACCATGATCTAGCTGTCTTCTGAGCACTTGCAAACATTTTCACATTCTCCACAATGGAAGATGATCCAAATTTAATTATAGTTTCTGTATTGTGAAGTGACACAATTTAGTCACTCTTTTGAGGTCAGGTTCTCTGGATAGTGTCTATTCGTCCATATACTTGGAATTGATCAGGCTTAATTGCGACTCCTCAGTATTCAGCTTATGGGATAAATGATAAATGAAGCTTCTACCTACCTGACAAGGTAAAGTGGACTAAAGATCAAATTGAAAAGTGTCATTGGTGGCATTGATTACTGGGTACAGAATACACACCACATCTTGCTGAGTAAGCTTGGTGAGATGAATGATCGGAACAGTGAGTCTCCTAAGTATCTCTTTTTTGACTCACTTATCTAGAAGTAAGGTAAGTTGTTTGGCCAGCCAATATGGTCCACATCATAAGTTAGGGACACCTTCAGAAAGGCACTGGGGTAAGATTTCTCTGGTGGTGGTGGTGGTGGTGGGTGGGGATAGGGGTGGAAGTGGGAAGGTTTGAGGGGGTACTTGTGCTTTTGGCACTTTGATGTGAGTTCTTGGTTCAGGGACTGCCATAATGTTGATCAGTCATAGGTTTCTGTATAATAGGCTAGGAGCTTTTTTTGGACAATTACCACTTCCTGAAAACTTTAATTAGTTTCTTAACAATCTATTTTGGGATCTTGTATCCATTGCCAGAGATCTTATAAAGT